GTTTTCTTAAACAAATTCTTCCCAGCAAGCAGTTTTGTTTGTCGTCTCGATTGTCCGCATCGTTATATGTCATTCATTCAGGAACGCTTTTTCTTACGTTTACGAGTATTCATCTATGTGGATCTTCAGAACTAGTTCAGATTTCGGTGTAACGTTCGTTTTAATTAAATGTACACTCTTAAACGAGGAAATTTCGATCGAAATTGAATTTCATTGAAAAGACAAGGGTTGCATCGAAAGCTTGTGTCTGCGTGTCGCAAATCCGTGGAAAACTGAATGAGAAGTTCTGAACAATTCTCTGGTTGCTTGAAAACATGGACGGACGTATCCAGCTATTGAAATAGCAGCAAATGAATCATTGCTCTCGTGGTTGAAGAACAGAAAGGAATACTTCTACAGCGAATCGCAACTGAGGAATGCAATTGTGACAATTTTTACGGCGACGGGGATAGAACGAGAAGGAAAACGACGGAGAAAATTGAACTTGTTCTGAAGATGATCGTTCAACACGTGTGGTCTCGAGTTTATCAGTTTTACAGATGGATCGTACGTTCTCGGTCAATTTTTCATCTTTCGTAAGGCGCGATCGAGCTCCTCCCCGGGAGAACTCGAGGAGATGTTGTCAGGGAGAAGCGGGATCTCTCTTTCAGCTGATCCAGCCCGCAGCGCACGTTTACAGGGCCCTATAGTTCCGTGTCACGTGTCGAATCTTCGGTGATCGTACAAATTCGAGGAATCACGCTGTGAATGTCCTCGAAGAAGATCAAGACGCCCCGTAGACGCAGGCAGAATTATCTGGCGGACTGATTTTCTCCACTGGCAAGACTGCCGCTCTGTGCCATTCGTCTCGCACCTAAAAATCAAGCAACGGTCACTCATTCGATGGAAATGGGACGTAAACTTACGTGTAGAGTGAGACACGTAAAGTGTGACAGTGGAATGTTAGAGAAAATATCGGTGATATGAAGAAAATTTTAGGAAACATCCAAGGATTTCTTCTTCTAAATAACAAGTACCTTATTATTATTATTATACTGATTTAGGACTCGTCGATCCTATTCACCATTTCAATTACAACGAATAGGACCGTAAAAGGCAATATACACTTCGATTAAACGCAACCTTGTCTAACCTAACCTTACAATTTTTTTATGACTACACCTCTTCGTCTTACAATTAGCTATTCACAATTTTCATACCGTGTTAAACGACACGAAGTTAAGATATTGTATTTTATTCGTGTTCGATAAACTTCAGGCAAAAATTTCAATTGAGATTCCAGTTAGAATTCAGGTTTATTACAAACGTAGCATTTTATTTTTCATATCTTGACCATAATCTGCACCACAAGTCTGACACGTTATTGCAACGCAAAGGATCGATAGATCATTATACACAATGAACTTGAAATATTTAATAGAACACTTTGACAAACTTCAAACAAAAATTGCAATTGAAGTTCGACTTAGAATCCAAGTACATTACAAAAGTAGCGTTCAATTTTTCATATCGTGGCCATAATCCGCACCGCAAGGATCGATAGATCGCTATAACAACTAATTGAAAAGGATTCAACAGGACACTTGGATTAAATAGAAACACACAACAACTCACCTGCTCGACTTTAGTGAATACCCTCAGTAAATTGAGGCCTGCCAATTTTTTAATGTCATCCTCCGTCCATGCTGGATCCTCGAGTAGTGTGGCCAACAATTGAGGATACCTCGAAACATCCTCCAAGCCTGTAGGAGTGCTGTAAAAAGGGAAAAGAAAAAGCGCATCGATAATCGCAGTGTCGCTTTATTTCACTACTGTAATGATATCTGCCATCCAGAGAATAGATATTCGACGATAAAATGGAATTTGTTCCAGCAGTCTCGTATCAATGGAAGCAATTTTACGATTTACGCGTTCGGCCTAAGTGTTCATTGTGTGTATCGTGAATTGTTCGCGAACCTCTCTCTCTCTCTCTCCCTCCTCTCATGGATGGAACTGTAATTGCTTCATTGAGCCGAGCATCGATAATGATTATTCTCTGAATGCGCGTTGTACCGAGGATACTCGAAAGATAATTACAAATTTATCCCGTCGAAGCCAGCTCCTATTCCAACGTGATCGATCCCCGCCACCTTTCGAATGTGATTGATGTGTGCTGAAACAGCATGGTCCCTTAATAAACCCAATCGCAGCCGTGTGCCGTTTAAAATTTCCTCGATTTTTATTATTATTATGTTTTTTGTTTTCGCCAAACTGACACACCGTCGTTTCACCGTAGTATCTCGATCAAATTCTCCGCTCAGTTCGATTGTTAATCAGTCACTGTTCACGCGTTAATCAGTTAATTGACGCGATCGAGCCGACGCGGAAAGAATATGAATCATTGCTCTCGAATACGAATTTCTATCGTGCGTACGTGTATATGTGGATCGTATTATCATATTCACAGATTCATATATTCGACGGTGCAGATTATGCGATACTACATCGATGTTACTCGATAGAAATGGTAAATTGTTACTCTTTGTTCCGGATCAATTCGATCCGACTGAAGATTCGTTACAGTACAACTGTTACAACGCGATCGTTTTAACATACTAGATTAGTTATTCATTTTACGGAGAAATTCGAGCATTCGGTGTCACGCTTCGATCATTACCATTCATAAATATTCATCCGGGGTAATTGTAAGATTTTTGACCGACTAAATTGAAGCTTCGAATCTTTTTCTTCTTTCGCAACTGCTCGAGATTACGTACAGAATAATTTGTACAGTTTGTCTGTCGATTGAGTATACAGGGTGGGCCATTAATTGTCTTCTCTGCTTATGGCGATTTAAATGGCTTCAAAGGTGTAAGAAAATTTTTAAGATGGAATAAAATTTCTCTCTCCTTTTTACCAATGTTACCTGTGCTCTTTTACCTGCGTTTTGAATGTGTATGTTTTTTTTTTAGAAAAGGTAATTAGATGGTCCATGCTGTGTATCTTTCTCGCCGGTAACGAGATAATATATACATATGTCGACAATGGTGTTCTACGTACCAATAACGTCTTTTATGGTGGCTGTACTGTTGCACGTTATGAAGTATGTATAAAACGGAACCATTGCCACTCCGCCGTTTTTAGCCTGTGAACAGACGCATTAACCTCAGATACAGGCGAAGATTGTACAATTCGGGATATTATACGCCGAAGGAAAAGCGATTGTAAAATTGTGTCGGGCAGAATAAAACGAGTATTCCATTTCCTTGCGAATGTATAAAGCCATTGAATTTACCCTTCCATTGTGCTTTCGAAAAAAAAAAAATATTGTCCCCGTTGCTGCATAACGGAGGCTGCCTCGAAATTACAGGTACAAACTTAGACGGCTAATGGTATATTTTTATAGAATGGACAAAGAAAAGGGTTGAAGAGTTTTTTTTTAGAGAAAATACTCGCTGTTGAGGTCAAGTTATAAAAGATATTGATATTCCTTGTAGTTATACAAATTATTCCTTTCGTTTTTAGACACATTTTGTTTAATACAACGCATTATTTAAGTTTCATTTAATTATTTTTGTGCATTCTACATTGTATCGTTGTAGAATTACGTTAAATTTACCGAAATGCGTGGGTAAATCCTTCTTGTTCATAATTTTTAATTTTAATAATTTTAATAGAAAATCACTCTTTCGTGTCGTTTAAAAGTATCAGCAACAGATCTACAAGATCAGATGGCGGCTTTCTCTTCGAACAAAATTCCCATCTGCGATTGAGATGTGCAAGTTGCCCCTTTAATTGGTAAATTTTCCAAACGCAACACGAGACAGTGTTCGCAGAGGTTATCGGCTGATTTTAAAAGCCGTGGAAAACAGCAGCGCGCATCGATCGGTGCTTTACGATTTTTCCTTTTTAATCCACGATTTGAACGTTCTGTGCCGGTGGGCGATATTAAAAAAGTTACGATTCGAGACGGTGTGCTTTCCAGATGCATATGCGACTGGAAAACGCACATTGAAATTCGATGAGCGAGCTGCTTTCTCGAACCGCGCGCGTCGTAGCATTCGTAGTTTTCCATATTGATTTTGTCCAGAGTCGTTTTTTGAAAGACAAGCGGAAACGGCTTCGATGCTATCAAAATCATCTGTTCCCACTTGCTTTTACGTTTATGTTCTTACCGGCGCTCTGGTAAAGGGGACAGCTGAAGCTTTTGTCCGTTGCTCTTCCCTCTGCGCTCTTTCGATATAATACCAGCAAGCAAATGGCCAATTGTATATAAAAAAAATGTCTGCACGCGTTCATTTTGCTGATAGTAGTTCATTCCCTACCTAGCATAATTGCCTTTTCATCGTATACCCTTATAACGCGAATCTTCGTCTTAGGTAATTTTGAAATTCCCGCGGTTTCAAGCCGCGAAAATTTGAAAAAACTCAACTCCACTAAAATCGAACATGCTTATTTAAAATAACTTCCACAATGTTCCATACACTTTTGTAAACGTAGATACGACAAGAGAATCAATTCCGCGTACACAAAAATTCGAATTACGTATTTTGAAATTTCGCGGCTGAAAACCGCGGGAATTTCGAAAAGCAGAGAAAGGGTATTAACGTAGAAATGAAAGAACCGAAGGATTTCACGTTCGAATCAGTGTCAAGATGAAAGGCTACCTCTGTTGTACATATTCTTCAGGTCAGCTCTTAAAGCGTTCGCCAATAAAACTCGAAAGAAATCGTAAAGCTACCCCTGTGGGGATGCAATTTCACTCTACACACCGCGTTGAAATTTTAATACCGCGAACTCGTATAAATCATATTCCCCGTTCGCTAGGATTTTTGAACGATTGCCTCGGGATACCTATGAAACATTCAATGTCCACATCGTCCTCGCGCGATCGCGCGAATCTCCCCGATTTCCGATCCGAAATTATGCGTTTCGAATTTTGCCGCGTCGCGGTCTATACGGCGGGCAACATTTCCCCCTATCGCTTGTTATAAAAGTCCGTCGTATCTCTTGCTGCACGAGAATACGTGTTGGGTTTAAATCCGTGCCCGGGACGCTTCACATTTTTCCACCGTTATTTATATGTAAATTTATTTACCAATTATTCGCGCTGCGCGTGGATTAGCGTGATGATAATTTATGCAAAGGTATCATACAGATTTCCCAATTAATTTGCATAATGGAGATTCCACTGTATCGCAGTCCGTGTGAATTCATTATTACAGCAGAGAGAGGCTGGTACAATGTACATAGGGATCAAAGAACAAAAAGGGACGAACCATTCTAATTTCCTTCCGTTTCATTTGCACCAAGCATCGACAGTTCTCTTCTTAACTTTATAATCTGTTCGTTGATAGAGAATAACACACTGCCTCTCTGCTGTTGTTGGTTTCGGGCGATTCATCAATGCCCGAATTCTTGATAAAAATCTAAAAGAGACCCTTGAGAGAGAGTAACAGGACGATCTTTATCCATCTTCGGTTAGCTTCGAAATGCTCGAAGCCAATGTGCAATGGCTATCCCCGGAGCTTTATCTAGTCCTTTTTATCTCTGCCTCCTATGGAAAATTACTGAATGTGCCAATCGAGAGAGGAGACAATGCTCTGCCGTCTCTACTCGATACCTGACCCGACTTAAACTATGAGGTAGCCGTTAATTGGGGCAGCAGTGTGGCACAGCTAATAACATGTTGCCTGACAGGCCATCGTTCGGCTTCTGATTGGTGTAACTCATCCCCTTGTTGCTCCGTCATGATCGAGCTGGTATTGATTGTGCCGCCGGAGCAAATAAGAAACACCTTGATTCTTCGTCATAGAGACATATTTTCCCCGGGAATTTTAGCCAAGCTAATAACTCCTCGCCCGGAGAGAATACTTCTTTTGGCAACTTTTTTTTCTACATTCACTTCGGTTCCGTGTAATTGAAATTTTCCTCTTTTTCTTTCTTTCGTTAAGTTTTAACGTCGATTCGACGACGATTCGGAACGAATATATGGAAATTTTTGGATCGGTGATTATTTGAAATTATAAAGGGGAATTATTATGTCATGACGTGATTAGAAGGAGCTTCTAGCTTTACGAAGAGGTGCGAGCTGAACTTCTGACCGTAATTTCGAGAGTAAAGTTATCTATGAAGAATTTTTAATTTACAAGATTGACAATAAATTCGTGGGAATTTAATTACCAACTGTCGACGGGAATTTACGAATCAGCGGTCGAATGAAATTTAAGGCGACCGCTCTATTGTTCCCGTCTCAAAATTAATCCCACAGATTAGCTTGAAGCATCGATGGAGGGTAATTGTCGTTTCGATGTGTGTGATTGGCAGGCACAGGGCTCCGATAGGATTAAATTTTAATCGAGCTTTACACGGAAGGCTTAATCACTTAGTTTACTCAGTGTTGTGTCATTAATTTGAAATCACTTGCACAAGTTCGAACAGTGTGCCTGGGCCGTTCAGAATCTCTGCCGGACAGAAGGGCGTGAATTATCGTACCAACTTGTTCCAAGTGAAAAATCGTCGTGCTCTCGTTTCTTCTGACCCTCTCGCGTTTTTTCACGTGATTTATATCTTCAAAAGCCTTTCGCTGGCTGTGTCTGTGTGCACGCGAACAGAGAGTCTGTATCGTGGTACTCGAAGAGAGAGAGAGAGAAAAGTTTAATGCTCAGAGGCTCGTAAATATTTAGATAATTGTTTCCCCGAGTGTTTATGGCGCATGCGAACGTTTTAAAAACGGATTGTACGTTCTCATTTGGCCGGCCTGTGACTTCTCTGACGGATAAATCATGTAGCTTCGCGTATCGTAATCCCAATTTAATCCCACGGTATTCTCTGCACAACTATTTTTTTTCCTCCTCTCCTTTTCTTTCTTCTCTTTTTTTTTCTCTCGTCTCTGCTAGTCTCATTGACTCAGGTCATATGTTATTTTACACGAGTATCCTGTGTGACTTTTTCTACACCCTCAACCCCTTCCTATTATACCAAGCGCGAATTCCGTGTCACGTTGAACACGTACGTACTTTTCTGGCCTGAATATATCCTCTTAGTCGCTTCGAACTCGCTTCGAATTTCCCTCGTTTTTCACGGCGACGCTTCTTTTTTTCTTCCCCTCTCCCCTCCTTTCCGATCCGCTTCCACGGCCGTACATTTTCAACAGACGAATCCATCCCCCTTTCTCTCTCTCTCTCTCTCTCCCTTCCGTTCACCTGATATTCCAGCCGCTGGACTGGTTTTGAATTTTTAGTTAAGAAAAGAGAAAAGAACGATAGAGAGAGCGAGAGAGGGAGAGACGTAACGTGTTTTCATCGAATCCCGCAACGAGGCTAGAGCCTGGATCAACCCTGAACTTTTCGAAACACCCGACCTGGTTCTAGTCGCGTGTTTGCTGACCTAAAACCAAATAATCTTTTCGTTGGCCAACGTTTGCCAGTAGTTGGGGCCGAAAAGGATGGTCAATTTTCCGCATTTCACCCGGCCATTTCAGCTTTTCGAGGATTTTCTGTATCGCTGTATAGGGGGTGGGGTCTGTAATTAGCGAATAAATTTCGATGATTAAATTCGCGTTTATCGATCGTGTTAATTCTCCATTTGTTTCGAATCGTACCGGTTTTTCTTCTTTCTTTCTCTCCTTTTTTTCTATTCGTTATTTGTCGCTGAACCGAATGGAGAATTTGGTACATTATACCGAGAAGAGATTACAGTTAATGCCATTCTACCAACTTTCAATGTAGCAGCCGGAAAACTGCAACTAAAACGTTAAAATTTATCGAGCGACCCAAAAAGCTAGGTTGTTGGGTAGTGGGTTAAGCATGGATTACATCATAAATGCTCACTAACAATTTTATCTGCTGCTGTGTTTGCGCTCAAAATAAATTATTCTCTTCTATTTTTTTTTTTTTTTTTTCAGATCATTATTTTCACGAGTGACGACAATGTTATCGCAGAATATTTCGTTGCAATGAAAAAATACTAATCTATTCATTCCAAGTTAATATTTAAAATACTTTCCCTCGAAGACCGATCGATACGAATTCAAATTTCGCGCCCTTAAATTCCCAATCAAATTCGACACCGTTCTCCTTTTCCTCCCTCGAATAAAATTTCCCTGGTACCTACACTCGTCACAAACAAAATATCATCGATATCGAAAATTTCTCAGAACCGTACTACAAGCCACGTTTCAAATATACCGGGTGTCTCGGTAATTAAGCGCGGAGAGAAGGAGAGAAAGGCCGTATTTTCCACGGTTCTACGACATTGTTCCGTACAAATTCATTCATCCCGGTAAAATATCTACTTGGCTTCCCCAACGAGAGACGTATAAAAACTCGTAACCGTAAACTCGGAATTTTTACGTTCGCCGGCGCAGCCTCGTATATCTGGTGTACGCACAATGAATTCTCGCGTGTGAGAGGCGCGCGACGCTAATCTCGCGGGCGGATCTCGGAATAAATGAATGGGAATAGGTGTAGTGAAAACTTCTATTTTTCTTTTTCATCTCCTCCCACCCTGTGTCTCCACCCACTACACATTTTCCGCATCTGGTCAAGCCTGCGGTTCGTTCGTATGCAACACGCGGCAGCTGGGGCTGCACTCGTTGCATCAACTTGTGCACGCGCGTCGAGTGCACTCTTGGCTTGGTGCACTCTTGCACCGAGCGTCTCGTGGCGCCTCCAGACGAACCCGCGAACCGTGCTCACGTCGATTTTCCTTCTTTCATTTT